ACATCTGTATCCCCCATAATATGCTGAAATTAAAAAAAAAAAAAAAGAGAGAGAGAGACTTTTCCTTGAACAAGTTGCCCAATTTCTCAGTGACAAAGCAAATTAACATCTGAGCTTGGGTTTTTCCTTTTTTTTAATCTGAAAAATGAAGATTCCATTACCACTTACCTAGAGGGGTATTGTGTGAATCGCTTATGGAATCTCATGGAAAGAGAATCCTGAACATAGTGACTGCTCAGTTACTGTGAATCCTCTTTCCTTCTCCCACCCGAGCAAATAACCTCCCTCCAACTTCTCTAACCTCTGCCCAGACTCTCTGTTCCCAATTCTGTCAGCCCTTCCTTGCCCTCCACCACACTGGCAAGTAACCTATCAGCCTCTACCTACACAAAATGGAAATCTGGTCCTGTACTACTTAAGGGAAGAAGATAGGTAAAAGGAATGCGACTTCCTGATGGCGAATGTGGGTTTTGTTGTTATTTGGTTTTTGGTTTTTTTTTTTGAGACAGGGTCTTGCTCTGCTGCCTGGCTGGAGTGCAACGACGCAATCACAGCTCACTGCAGCCTCCAACTCTGCCCTCAAGCGCTCCTCCTCGCCTTCCCAAAGCACTGGGATTACAGGCATGAGCCACTGCACCCAGCCTGATCCGTAAGTAATTTTGACAGTAAATACGTGGAAGGGGGGATAAGTACTAAACCCTCATGTCAGGGGAACCGCCCACACTGATTCTGGTTTTTGTCTATACACATACACATACTCTCACTCACTCAGTCTGGCTTAGACACCCTCCCTGAGCACTGCCATGAGATCTGCTTCACACTGTTATCACAGTCCGTACTAACTGCTCTGTAACTGTGTATTTGTCCCCCACCCCTTGTCTGTGAGCTCCTTGAAGACAGAGACTCTTTTCCATCTCTGCAGCCCAGCTCCCACCTCAGAGCACACCTGCAATGACACACTCTCTAGTGATTAGAGACTACAGAGCACAAGAAAAACTGCTTATCTTTGGTACAGTTGCAGAAGAGTAAAATGAATTTAGTCATTTGTGTGAATGGTTTCCATTTCAACTAGTTACCATGCCTAGCACTGGAAGGTTCCTCTACTGAAAACTCCAAATTTGGAGGCTACAGCACTCTAAACCTTTAGTCCTTGCTACTCCTGAAGTCTGGCACAGACTCCCACCTTGGTCAGGAACACAGGACTACTCTACAGGCATAAAAATAGAGGGGCTACATCTGAGAAACTTATATCCCAAGGCTAACTTGCAGGCCCTGATTTAAGTCTCCTAAATATATGCGTAAGCCAAAACCCATTTTCCAGAAAGCTACTGCTTATACATTAAAAAATAAAATAAAATAAAATCTCTTACCCCTGGAGACATTCACACCCAGCCTTCTGATAAGGAGTTACTTAAAAAGGTAGAGAAGTGGAACCAAAACCAACCGCAACAAGCTACACACTAGATGTGTTCGGAATCTGTGTGGGGGACGTACATGTATGACATTGCTCAAAATGTTAAGAGGGCAAGAACCATGAACTACGTTCTAGAGTATATAGCTCCGTTGTGGAGCCTTAGAAAGTGTCTGGTCCAATCAAGAATGCTTCTATTTAGTATTTGTCAAGCAGGCATCTGAAAGCTGTGCTAAATGACCCCAGTTAAAGACATTTTCTGCAGTTCATAGATGAGAAATTTGGGCTCCTAATAAATGTCAGATGGATGAGGATGCTGAACTGCAACTCTGCGTGACCTGCCTGCTACATAAGCCTCATTCCCAGAGGTTATCTCGGTAGATCCTCACTTCCACCCTGCAGGCAAAGTTCTATCCTCCCCATCGCAGGGCAAGACAGGAAGGCATAGACAAGGAAAGTTACAGGCTTTTTTCCCTCGGGGAAAGGCAACTTCTTCCCTCCAAAATGTCCCAGTAATTGAGCCTGTGTTTTAGGACCAAACCAAGACATTTCAGCACGGGGCTACTTAGCATCACAAAGAGAGAAGGACATGGACTTTAAAGGCAGCGCCATGAAACCGGAATCCCATCTGCGCTGTTCCCTATCCGGCAGGCCACTGGGTGTGCTCACACAGTCCCAAGTCCTCAAACACCATGTCCCACCTAAAGTCAGTCCTGGCCAAAGATCCTTCTGGAGGTAAAGCCTTTGCACGTTCAGGAACAGATCATAGTCAGAATCCCTAGACCACTTCTCAGAACTGAGTGAAAAATAACCACAACTTCCTTGCACTTAGTTCCTCCCCAAAGAGCTGCTGAACCTCATCTGGAAACAGCTGGGAGGCAGCAGTTAACAGGAAACCAAACCAAAAACGAGCACAGAATGTACCAGGAGAGTTAGGCAGCTAGAACGAAGAGGCCAGGGGACAGACAGGAAGTTGAAGTTAGAAACAACCTGGGCCAGAAACAGTCACACAGAAGAGGAGACCCAGCTGGCCTTCCTCTCGGCCCAAGCAGGAGAAAACCTGAACAACCTGTGGGCTCAACCCCCACAGAATGCAGATCAGACCATCCCTGAAGTTGTCTTCATTCCTCCCTGGCCCCCAGCTCGATTTTACTCTTCCGAAAGCCAGGCAGTGGTCCTAACCAGGAGAGCTGGGGTCAGAAACTCACTTCTCTCTAGCTTCCTTCTGTGCCAGAGGCTGCAGCCCAGACGACTGGGTTTGAGTACTCCTGTGCGGATCTGTACTAAGTTCCACACTGCGGACTAAACTCAGGGGCTGGTCAAACCAGCCTCACACAGACAAAGGGCATCTTCATGAGAAATTACAAGGCAAATTCCATCCAGGGATCTGCAGCAGTAGACCGTAGGTAGCAGTAGACCTCAGGTGGCAGCAGACCTCAAGCACAGGGAACAGCAGCAAAGGCAAGAGAGCCAGAGCTGGCGCAGTGGTGCCTGCCTGCAGTCCCAGTTACTCGAGAGGCCCAAGGAGTCTGAAGCCAGCCTGAGCAACACAGCAAGACCCTGCCTACAGAAAAAGAATTAAAAACATAAAAATTTTAAATTTAAAAAGAAAAAAAAAAAAGAACCAACAAGAGAGCCAGCAGGGTTAGAAGCCCTGAAGAGCAAGGTGAGCTTCTTGCACCAAACTAATGGTGCATTTTGCAATCAAGAAAGTTAACTGAGCAGTGAGTGGCCAGTTGCCAAAATATTTTTGAAAGAAATGAAAAAAAAAAATCATTACTAAAATTCTTTGGTATTATTTTAAAAGCCTTTAGGTTACATAAACAGAGTGCAAAGGGGAGACTGGTTTATTTTTCCTTTAATAGAGCTTATTTAGGTGAGGCCTTTCTAGCCCAGGCCTCCTGTGACTCAATCATGCATTCTCTCCCAGTATATGTAGAAGTTTATATTAAAATAAAGAAGAGGATTAAGTTCTCTTAATAAAACGCATTCCTGTCTTTCACCTCTAGCTTTGTTTGAAAAGGTTCTCAAAGTATAGCATATGCTGCAATCTCCTTGGGTATGTTTCCAATGGCCGTGCTCAAAATTTGAGACTGGAAGGCGCACAGGGGTGCAACCTCAATCCCATTTGTTTTTTTAAAAAACAGAACATCTTTATGGGCTCAGTGCCAGCTCAAACTGGCAAGACCAGAGAATCAGAGCAGAGACTGACCAATGTGCGAGTAAGGGGGATGGGAGGAAGAGCTATGGGAACAAATCATCAGGGAAACCTACAAGAGAGGAAATGGGGTGGGGGGGTGTGTTTCGGGAACATAACAAAGGAACAAGTTGACTAATCATTTATTCCAGAGGGGGAAAAAGCCACCCAGAGCCAAGTGTCTGGTATTTCAACTGCAGGTAAATGCATTCAGGGCTAACAGCTCTCCCAAAGAGGGGGGAATATTCCTACTCTTCTTAGCAGTGTTGCTGGACTCTCTTAGGAAACTTTTCCTGCACTGCCTACAGAGCAGACTCAAGACAGCCTGGGCCAGTCCAGTTCCTAATGCAATAAGCCCAACTCAGCAAAGATCCTACCATGAGCTCTGTGCCGGGTGAGCTGCTCAAGCCACCACAGCTAGTCCAAAGAAGTTCTGCTGCTGAGGTATAAAAGTCAGCTGAAACAAATACCTAACATACACACTGGGGAAGAGACAGAGAGTGGAAAGATGTTTTAACCCCTCAAGGGCCAATAATTTCTATGACTAGGAAAAAAGAGATCTCCACCCAGGATCAAATCCACAGGTCAGGATGGTATCTGGGATGCCTGCCCTAAACACTAACATCTCCCTCATATAATGTTTCAGGGCCGGCCAGAAAACCCTCCAACTTGCCAGGAGGACAGGCTGCACCTCCAACAGCTGTGGTTCCTAGGACGCACCCAGGGCCCTCCCAAGATGGGGGAGGATCATCTCCCAATAAACGGGTTGTGAGGAGGTCTTCAGGTGCAGGGACATAAGAAAACGAGCTAACATTTATGGAGCTCCTAACTCTCGCCAGGTGCTGGAATAAGCAATTTACTCATCTCGTCCCATCCCCACCACGGCCCCACGAAGGCAGACGCTACTGTCATTCCCTTTTTATAAAAGAGGAAACAGGCTCTGAGGTATTACACAACCGTTAAACAGTGGAGCCAGCGCTCCAGCCCCCCTGAACAGGTGGTCTTAACCGCTGCTGGATATTGCTGGAAACACACAAAGCGTTTGGGGGAAGAGGTCGATACAGTCCGTAACACAAGATGCAGCCAGCTTATACCTCTTTCTTGTCCAAAATCGGTGACCCCAGGACACTGGAGGGGAGGGCCTAGATGCGGAACGTGAAGCCGAAAGAACCCAAGCACTGCTGGCAGGGGAGGAGGCCAGGACCCCGGCCCCTCTCACAACGTTGGGGACCCCAAACCCATAAACCTTCCCGAAGGGGTAAGACCCAAAGGGAATGCATAAAGCCAGGGCTTCCCAGGCGGTCCTGGCCTCCACGCTTGTTTTGTCGAAGGGGGGCCCCCGCTGGAGGCGTGGGGCCCGGCCGGGGCCTCCGGAGGTCGCCGGGTCCCTACCTGTAGGCCAAAGTCATGCACTCGAAGAGCTTGGTGAGCGAGGCGTCGATGGACAGGTGGCAGGAGCTGGTCTTGCCGAAGCTGTAGGTCTGGCACGTCTGCTTGTTGACCGTGTCGAAATCGTAGCCCTTCTTGGGCGGGTGCTCGCGGTGCGGCGAAGACACCATGAAGTGGCCGCTGTGGATGATCTGCTGGCGGCGCGGAGGCTCCTCGCGGCCCGGCCCGGCCCGGGGCGGCGGCGGCGCGGAGCTCGCGTGGGGCCGGGCCGCGGCGGTCGCACCGGAGGCGGGCGGCGGGGACGGCTCATCCGTGTCCGAGTCGTCGTCGTCCTCGGGCACCTGGGGCTTGAGCAGCACCGGGCGGCCCCCGCTGCGGGGCCGGCGCGGGGAGCACATGAAGACGTCGGCGGCCATGAGGGAGGCCCGGCCGGGGGCATCCCCCGGGGCCCGGGGCAACGCGCGAGCTACGCTGAGGGCGCCGGCCCGGCCCGCGCGCGGACAGTCCGCGAGCGCGCGGCGGGGCGGGCGGGGGAGGGCGCGGGCTGACGGGGCCGCCTCGGCGCCGGCCCCGGCCCTACGTCACCGCCGCGTCTCGGCCAATGGGCTGCCCGTGTCGGCCTCTTAAAGGCGCAGGGGAGCCCTTCCCTATGAAGGAGGACAAAAAAAAAAAAAAGGACCCTGAGGCCGCGCCTCCCTGCCCTCCCCTCACCACCTCCTCCCCTCCAGGCGGCTGGGGGTGCTGCGGAACAGGGTGGCTGGGCTGCGCCACCCTTTGGTGGCGGGGCCTAAGAGAGACGTCCCGCCCCGCCCCGCGCTCCGGAGTCGCCTGCGGCCTCGCAGCGGCTGGGCCGCGCTCCACGTGGTGGGCGGGTGGGGGTGGGGTGCCCTCCCAGCCCGGGCCCTGCAGCGCCCGGAACTGGGTCTTAATGGCTCATTCCTGATTTCCCTGGGCCTGTGGCCGTTGTCCCCGTTTAGTTGAGGCGAAGACCGGGTTGCTGAATGCCGAAAAGATTTTCCTAATGTGAAAACAAGATCAAGAACACGTCTCACTGAGCGCTCGCGTCCACCGCGGTGTAAACTGGCTCTGCCAATGGAGGCATTTCCCGGCGCATCACGGCTGTTAGTGGCAGAGCCCACGCGAGCCCAGCTGTCTGCCGCCCGGTGCCAGCTCCTTAACTGCAACTCAAAGTGCCCGGGCTTTTGTGGTGTTTTTTTAAGTCTGGCGGGCTAACTAGCCCCAGAACGACTCCAAAAGGGGAAATTCTGAGCCACAGTTTTCTTCTCTGTCAAGTGGGGAACAATTCCTATGCCTCAGAAAATTGTGACAGTTTCAAAATGGCTATCATGTCCTCCAGTCCTGATTTTGTGGGAAAAAAAAAAATATGGCTATAATGTGTTCACCTGGGTAGCAACAGACTGAGCGCTAAATAAATGTACTATTTAGCTATTTAGGTTGAAGGAATTGAGTCCACCAGTCCTGAGGTGCCTAGAAATTACCAATAGTTGACCACTTTTTGACCTACAGAAACAGCAACTCCATATGGCTCAGCCTAACTTCTAGACACTTGTAAAAAACTGTCAAGATTTCAGCTGCTCAAAGCCAGGCTGAGGTGGGATGGCAGGGAACCAGGAGGGCGGTGAACCCCCCAGCCCCAACGCCCGAGCCAGGAGCACCCGCCCTAGTCCCAGCATGGCCTCTGGAGTCCTCCACAGCCACTCCTGCTCTCTGCTTTGAAGCCAGTTTCACTTCCAGATTTGGGCGGGGGCTGGGTGTCCTGCCCCACCCTCCTCCTGAAGGGGACCAAGGGCTCTTACCAAAATGGCTGCACCAGCTCCTTTCCAAACGTCTGCAAGGAGGGTGGGCTAGATGGACTGGCAGCTTCCAGGTGTGAGTTTGAGATGTTCCCTCTTGCCCAAACCACTGTTCCCAACGCTGGTTGCAAATGTTTGAAAGTGCAGCCGTTGAGCTGTTTACCTTTTCATAAATTTAAACTCCCAGCCACATTTAACACACAACATATCCCAAGGATATGTGCACAAATTATTGTAGCATTTATACTAGTGAATACTAGAAACAATGTCCAACAAGAGGAAATTCCGTGACTGTATTATAGCCCGCAATATAATGGAACACTATATATTAAATGATGTATATTTATTGACATGCCTAGATGTCCTTGATATAGTATTGTGTGGAAAAATAACTTTTAAAAAGTTATCAGGGGCTAGGCACAGTGGCACATACCTGCAATCCCACCAATTTGGGAGGCCAAGGTGGGAGGATCACTTCAACCCAGGAGTTAGAGAACAGACTGGGCAAAATGGCAAGACCCCATCTCTACAAAAAAAATTTTAAAAATTAGCCAGGCATGGTGGCGCAGGCCTATAGTCCCAGCCACTCAGGAGGCTGAGGCAGGATCACTTGAGCCCAGGAGTTTGAGGTTACAGCGAGCTATGAACATGCCACTGCACTCCAGCCTGGGTGACAGAGCAAGGACTCTCCCCACCCCCATCTCTAAAAAAATAAATAATTAAATAAAAATATCAGTAGTTTGCTGTCAATTAAATAAAATTCATATATTTATATGTACATGTCAGAGAGTGTACCAAAATGTTAACACCAGTTATCTCTGGGTGGGGTGATTTTGATTTTCCTCTTTATGTTTATCTATATTTTCTAATTTCCAAAATAAACATGTATGACTTATACACATTTTTTAATTAAAAAATTAAACATCAGTTCCCTGGGGGGACATAATCTCATAAGGCTGAGGTTGCCAAGTGGCAACTGGAGGACCATATTCAGTGCAGAAACATGCTTTGTTTAATCCTTACTGTAAATTCCCAAGAGACTGTATTAGGGAAGAAACAAGATTTGAGAAAAATCGCAGTTTAAAATGCAGAAAGCAAAGACCACAGAGCATGAGGTCCAGTCGTGGTGAGCTCCAAGCTCACCATCCATGGCTGGAAGGACAAGAAGGTCTCAGGAGGAGTTTTCAGGGAGATGTGGAATTGCTTGCAGAGAATCTAGGCTGGTGGTCCTCCGCCTCCCCTCCTGCTGTGTAGAAGGCAGTGTCGCAAGCGTGCAGAGGCTGGACACATACGGAGTGACCCAGGGAGCTAATGAGCCCCGTGGAGGACAAGGAATTCTCATGCCCAGACAAACCACAAGAAAACAGAAGCTCACAGAGTAGCCATCTCTTCTCCAAAAATTAGAAGAAACAATTGTGAGCAAATTAGCAGTCAGGCAAATAGGGATTCCCAAACACAAAGGATTACAGACCAGCAAAAGTCAGCAGGCAATTAAAGAAAGCCAGCACTCTGGAAGAAAGCTAAAAGCTAACAAGTAAGGGGGGGAAAGTAACACAACAAAGACTTTAAAAATAATTAACAGTCCTAGAAAGAACACAGAAAACTCTACACCCACTAAGCAATAACCCATTACGAGAAAGAAGCAAATAGGGGTCTTGGTAAATAAGTACAAGTATGTAAGTAGAAAAATACGATTTTTTTAAAAAGCTGAGTTAAATAGCAAAATGAAGAAGGCTGAAAAAATACAGCAGTAAGCTAAAAGATGGAACCAAGAGTTTGTCCCAGAAAACTGCCAGAAGGACAAAGAGAAGTTGTGACATGGAGGACACATCCAAAAGTTATTGTTCCAGAAAGAAAGAAGAAAATGGGGGGTGGGGGAGTGGGGAATAACCAAAGTAGTAAGAAGAGAACATTTCCCAGTGCTAAAAACACAAGCCTTTTATATCTGTAAATATAGCTGATTGCGTTGTGATAACAAAGCACTCCCAAATCTCAATGGCTTAAAAACCACAAAGGTGTATTTCTTGCTCAAGCAACCTATCTATTGGTTGCATGTCTACAGCAGGTTGCAGTGGGCTGTGCTGGTTGAAGTCACTCCAAGACTCAGCCTGGTGACAGAGCAGCCCACCACCTTGCCTGTTGCCTATCCCCATGGTAGAGGAGAAGAGAGAGCTCAAGAGAGTCTCACGTTGTCAATTAAATGGTCTGGCCCAGAAGTGACATATACTTGCAACTCCTTGGCCAGAACAAATTACATGGCCCCACCCAACCACAAGGAAGCCAGGAAGTCCAATCTGATCATATGACCAGAAAACAGACAGCCAGAAATACTTGGGGAACGGTGCCTGAAGACTATAACTTTGGATTTTAAAGGTCCCCTGTAAGAGCAACCCCGGGAATGACTCTCAAAAGCATTGTGCTAAGTCAAAGAAGTCAGACTGTTTGATTCCATTAATGTGACCTTCTGGAAAAGGCAAAACAATCAGGACAGAAATCAGATCACTGGTTGCCAGGAACTAGGAACAGAGGATGAGGGACAATGGAACTGACCACAGAAAGGCATGAGGGAACTATTTAGGGTGATGAAAACATTCCGTCTCTTGATTGTGGTGCAGGTTACATGACTACGCAAGTTTGTCAAAATTCACAGAACAGTACACCTATAAAGAGTGAATGTTACTATATGTAAATTATACCTCGATACACTTTGGAGGATAAAAGGTTAAATGGTCTTTTCATCCATAGGCCATATTTGAAAGAATTACTAGAGGCTGTTCTCTCCAACAAAACAAAAATGAAATTTGAGTAAGAAAAAGATATGGAATGCAAGAAACAGTGTAGAGCAAAAAAAAACAAAAAAAAAATGGGTTTTAAAAATTATGATGAAAAAGAAAATAGTTATTAAAAATCCAACCATAGGCCGGGTGCGGTGGCTCACGCCTGTAATCCTAGCACTCTGGGAGGCCGAGGCAGGTGGATCACTCAAGGTCAGGAGTACGAGACCAGCCTGAG